TTCTCATAAGAACTTATTTATGCATGACCTCTCCAGTGCCGTTCCTTTCTACAGAACTGAAACTCAGTGCTTTCTCAGTCTCTGTAACCATGTGGGGTTGACATGTGGATGGCGGCAACACCCCACCCGCCATATCCTGGACCTGAATTAAGGAATCCCCGGCTACAGGAATGGAAAGTGTGATGTCACGTTTCATTTGTCCATTCATTGAACAGTCATAGAATGATTAGAGGACTCTGTCAAAAACTCTTATTGTGAATTATTCTGTTCCTTTAGGTGTGGGTGTCAATATGTCAGAAGCCTAAAAATATTTATGCCCACTAACCAAGAAAAAGTGTTTCTAGGAAAGAGTTCTACAGAAACAAGCCAGATATGGAGGTATCATCAAACAAAAAAGACCCAGCATCATTTGTAATTTTCCTCTAGCAACTACAGTTAACTATTTGATGTCCATCTTTTTGAATATTTACATATATAAATATTATGTATATAAGAATTTTTAGGATTACAAACAAAAATAACACGTATAGTTCTGTATCATATACATAGAGTGTATATGCATACAGTAGATGTAAGTGGGTACACCTTTTACACTTAATAGGATGGACACACTACATAGACAGAGATGTGTGCAGAATTTGCAGCAGAATATTCCATGGATGGACATCTTAATTCCCTTTTTTTTAATCCCCTACTGATGTGCTTTTGTTTGAACAACCGTACTATAAAAAAAAAAAAATCCTTGTGTCTACATATTCCTATTCTTTTGCAGTGTTTCTATAAAAAAGATTCCTGATAATGGAATCAGGTCAAACAGTAGTTTTTGTTTGTTTTTTTTGTTTGTTAGTTTGTCTCTTTGTAGTACTTAAGATTGACTCCAAGGCTTCAGTCATGCTAGGCAAGAGCTCTACCACAGAGCTGCATCCCCAACCCTAGTATGTGTGGTTTAGTATTTGCTAAGTAGTAGTGTTTAAATAAACCTCGAAGTGTTTGATTACTACGATTCTACACAATTTTTTTTATACCAGGGATTGAGTTCAGGGGCACTGTATCACTGAGCCATATCTCCACCTGTATTTTGTATTTTATTTAGATACAGTGTCTCACTGGATTCCTTAGTTCCTCGCCATTGCTGGAACTAAGTCTGGCTTTGAACTTGTGATCCTCCTGCCTCAGCTTCCTAAGATGCTGTAATTACAGGTGTGTGCCACCATGCCAGGCTTCTAAACAATTTTAAATACAAAAATCAGATTATTTGGAAGATGAAATAATTGTGGCTCATAAAAATTAATACATGTATGATTTCTACATATCTTTTGAATGTCCCCTTCTTCTGAAGAAAGGACCCTAGCTCAGTGTATATTTCTTGTACTTATAACTGAAACCCAAGTAATCCACCTGTTAAATAACTTCTCTTCATAGCAAACCTATAAACATAGTTTTGCTCCACATAGAGCTTGATTTCCACCTGTCCCCCACCAACGTTAGCCATTTATTTTGTGGAGTATGGTTTTTAGAGAAATAATGTATGGTACACCTATAACCCCATACAGGTATACACCACATTTGGGAAGGAGTGGTGAATCCTGTTACCTAAGTCAGTGTTCTTAGCCACTAACCTGCATGCAGCACTCCTGGTAAACTTGATGACAACATCAGTTCTCAGGTTCCATCCAGAGCATTCTGGTGGGAGTGGCTTCTGAACTGTTTCTTGGGATTTGAGTATAGGTAGATCATACCTGGGGAAATCACTTGGGCAGTGTTTAATAGCACACAGTATGTAGTTAAATGAAGGTCTAGTTTGAGAACTCAGTTGTGCCATCTACATGCAGTGTGATCTTGGACAAGTTGCTTACCCTTCTCAAGGCGAGATTTACTTTTCTGACAAATGGGCATGTTAAGAGTACTACGTAAGCTATATTATTGCATTAGGAAGATTCAATGGATGATATATATATATGAAAAGCAAATAGATTTGAGTAAGCCTCAAAAACATTAGCAATTTCTTATTAACAAAGCTTTATTTATCATAACCAATCACTACAGAATACTCTGCCTAATGGTATCTGAAGGATATGGAAATGACAACCCTCAAAACAGGGTGGCCTGACAGGAGGGAGGGACGAGGAAGCCATCACATTGATGTCATTGATCCTTTCCCAATACATCCTTTCCCAGTGACAAGACAATCCCTGGGAAGGAAGCAAACATCACCCAGTGACAAGACAATCCCTGGGAAGGAGATCTCCCCCAAGCCTAAAATGAAAGTTTCTGGGGAGAATCCAAAATATTGGTCCTTTTCAAAATAGGTCTTTTCCCAGTGACAGTAAAATAGATCCTGGAGGGAAAGAGATAAGTCTGAATGCTGAACTCTGGACCCTCCATCCTTGCCCAGTAAATACAAATTTCAAATTCTCACACCTGTTTCCTGAATATCTAAACTGATAAGTTCTGATAAAGTCTTCAATGGTTAAGTCATCTCCCAGTGTGTAACAAATATAAACCCGAACCTCCCCCATGATCAGGGCCATTTTCCATCCAGGGAGTGAGCCCTCTGATGCTTGACTCTTCTACTAAATAAAAGGCATGGCTGGTCCATGAAGTCTGCTGCCATACCGGTTATTTGTACTTTCACTATGGTGCTAAAACCATTAGGTTGTTTTTGTTTATGGTATCCATTCAAGAATGGAATTTTCCTAGAGCAGGTACATTAAGAATCATAAAATATTTGTAGCTTGGAATGTTCCAGAACTGCACCTCCAGTGTAGAGTGGAGTAACTACAGTAGCTCTGTTCTTCTCCCTCAAGTCCCTCCAAGTCACACATTCCTATTATTTGCCCTTATTCCTCTTAACCAGTGATTCTGATTTTTATGGACAAACAAAAGCAAACTCCATGCCAGTTTTCTTATAAAAAGTGCATCTTTATTATTTCACCAGGCTGGACACAGCTCAGAACCCAAGGAGCCACTATGTGTTGGTCAGTGCACAAGGACCCACTCCATATCTGTCAGTTTGGTGGCTTTGATACCATGTCTGCCTAGAATAAGCTGATGACAGCCACTCGACTGTCACCAGTGTGAACAAAGTGGGATGGGATGAGTGGCAAAGAATTTGTCCTTGGATATTTTGGAAAAGTTACAAAATG